CAAAAGGACATACACATGATGAAAAATCAATCACTCTGTAAGTAGTATTACATGATAAACAATTAGATGGAAGAGGACCATTACAAGTTTAACAAGTGTGATGGCATTCTTAGCAAGTAAGTGAAAATCCATCGTCAAAAGTTTGTGGAGAAGAACATATACATTCAAATGATGTTGTTAATGGGTTATTAGGTATTCTAGTTACAGGACATTCTGTGCAAGAATCTTTTAAAGGGCTTTTTGTACAATCTTAACAAGTATAAAAACATCCTATAAATCACATAATAAAAATATTATTACTTTTGCATTCAATATTATCATTTTCATCATCATAATATGATTTTTAGCATAAACATTCTCCATAAGTTGTTAAATCTCTGTTTGAGCTTAATAAACAATAAGTACAACCTGTGGGTTCAGGATTTTAACAATTTCCACAAGTGTAATGACATGCTAAATTTTAATATTTTAAATTACTGAAACATATATCATTAGTACCATTGTTATCTCCATAATTATATTGGCAATCACAAGTGAAATTATCTGTAACAATTCTATTTTCTCCGGGAATACAAGTTAGACAATATTAGTCCATAGTCTCATCAGCTGATTTGAAACAAATTCGACATCTCGGATGACATTCTGAATTAAAAATTATTTTACTTCCACATATGAATTCTCTTATTTCAGAATCAGCATATCCAATTTTGCATGGACAAGATTTATCAATTGATATTCTATTTGAAATACTTTCATCTAAGCATTAAGTACATTCATACTTAGACGGACCTGAACAAGTTAAACAAGAGTTATCACAAGCTTAAATTATGAATAATTAAAATATACCTAGACAAATTTAATCATCATTTTAAGGATCATATGTTCCAGATTAACAAATGCATTCTTAATTAACAAGAATTCTATTTGATCCTAATTTACATGAAGTACATTAAAAAAAATCAAACACTTCACATTCATTACAATACCCCTCTTTACAAGGCTTGCATATATCATTATAAACACCAGTTGGTGGTAAACATAGACAAATACCATTAATTTCATCAAGTACTTTACCTTTAGATCCATCACAAGTTGTACAGAATTTTGGATTAGTATCCAAGCATGTTTGACAATTTGGACTGCAGCTTATAAGTGAGCAAGTGCCATCTGGTTATAATGCATACCAAGGCATACAGGCTAAACATTTGTTATCAGCTTCATTTAAATGGAAACAATTTTATTTTATGGCTCCAGTTACTATTTAAATTACTTATTATTACATATACAACGTCCATCTTGAGATAAACTATATCCAATATCACATTATTCACATTTTATATTGTAATGATATTCTCCATTTTAACTTACTTGAAAAGATTGAACATAATAATAAGAGAAGCATTTATAAGATATATAACAAAGAGTTGTAAAAAAGGCATCCTCATTATATAGTAACAAGATATAACCAGGATCACATACCCAACATCTTACATATCCTTTACCTTATTAATTTGTTTGATAACTACAGCCTCTACAACCTTCACGACATTCTAAAGGATATTTAAATAAAATATATTTACGATAGCACTTGTTCTCAAATTTATACCATCCTTATTCACAATTTTGACCTAATTATAACTAATTATCTATCAACTGACAATTACTAAATCCCTGGCAATCTAGAAATTTCTACGTTATCTTTTACCTAAATCACATCTTTGAAGCAATTCAGAATTAGCATGAGCAGGATGGCATTTTGAACATATTTAATTCTCGGAACATTCTAAACAATATTAGCCTCCACATACTAACATTTAAAATATTTTTACTTCTGGGAGGAGTATGATATCTTTAATCATACCATTCTTGAGTTTAATGACAAAATTATCCATAGAAAGGAGGTCGACAAAATTATAGTCATTATATATTTTAATCTTAATTAAGATTAAATTAATCTTTATAGATTTAATTTGTCGACATTTTCCAAATCATAATAACTATTTTTATAATA